TGTAGTAGGTCCTGTGTTCATGTGTTGGTGTAGTAGGTCCTGTGTTCATGTGTTGGTGTAGTAGGTCCTGTGTTCATGTGTTGGTGTAGTAGGTCCTGTGTTCATGTACAGGTAGTAGGTCCTGTGTTCATGTGTTGGTGTAGTAGGTCCTGTGTTCATGTGTTGGTGTAGTAGGTCCTGTGTTCATGTGTTGGTGTAGTAGGTCCTGTGTTCATGTGTTGGTGTAGTAGGTCCTGTGTTCATGTGTTGGTGTAGTAGGTCCTGTGTTCATGTGTTGGTGTAGTAGGTCCTGTGTTCATGTCCTGTGTTCAGTGGTGGTCCTGTGTGTTCATGTGTTGGTGTAGTAGGTCCTGTGTTCATGTGTTGGTGTAGTAGGTCCTGTGTTCATGTGTTGGTGTAGTAGGTCCTGTGTTCATGTGATGGTGTAGTAGGTCCTGTGTTCATGTGTTGGTGTAGTAGGTCCTGTGTTCATGTGTTGGTGTAGTAGGTCCTGTGTTCATGTGTTGGTGTAGTAGGTCCTGTGTTCATGTGTTGGTGTAGTAGGTCCTGTGTTCATGTGTTGGTGTAGTAGGTCCTGTGTTCATGTGCTGGTGTAGTAGGTCCTGTGTTCATGTGTTGGTGTAGTAGGTCCTGTGTTCATGTGTTGGTGTAGTAGGTCCTGTGTTCATGTGTTGGTGTAGTAGGTCCTGTGTTCATGTGTTTGGTGTAGTAGGTCCTGTGTTCATGTGCTGGTGTAGTAGGTCCTGTGTTCATGTGTTGGTGTAGTAGGTCCTGTGTTCATGTGTTGGTGTAGTAGGTCCTGTGTTCATGTGTTGGTGTAGTAGGTCCTGTGTTCATGTGTTGGTGTAGTAGGTCCTGTGTTCATGTGTAGGTCCTGTGTTCATGTAGTTGGTGGTCCTGTGTTCATGTGTTGGTGTAGTAGGTCCTGTGTTCATGTGTTGGTGTAGTAGGTCCTGTGTTCATGTGTTGGTGTAGTAGGTCCTGTGTTCATGTGTTGGTGTAGTAGGTCCTGTGTTCATGTGTTGTATGTCCTGTGTTCATGTGTTGGTGTAGTAGGTCCTGTGTTCATGTGTTGGTGTAGTAGGTCCTGTGTTCATGTGCTGGTGTAGTAGGTCCTGTGTTCATGTGTTGGTGTAGTAGGTCCTGTGTTCATGTGTTGGTGTAGTAGGTCCTGTGTTCATGTGTTGGTGTAGTAGGTCCTGTGTTCATGTTGGTGTAGTAGGTCCTGTGTTCATGTGCTGGTGTAGTAGGGTCTGTGTGTGTTCATGTGTTGGTGTAGTAGGTCCTGTGTTCATGTGTTGGTGTAGTAGGTCCTGTGTTCATGTGTTGGTGTAGTAGGTCCTGTGTTCATGTGTTGGTGTAGTAGGTCCTGTGTTCATGTGTTGGTGTAGTAGGTCCTGTGTTCATGTGCTGGTGTAGTAGGTCCTGTGTTCATGTGCATGTGTTGGTGTAGTAGGTCCTGTGTTCATGTGCTGTTGGTGTAGTAGGTCCTGTGTTCATGTGTTGGTGTAGTAGGTCCTGTGTTCATGTGTTGGTGTAGTAGGTCCTGTGTTCATGTGTTGGTGTAGTAGGTCCTGTGTTCATGTGTTGTGTGTAGTAGGTCCTGTGTTCATGTGCTGGTGTAGTAGGTCCTGTGTTCATGTGTTGGTGTAGTAGGTCCTGTGTTCATGTGTTGGTGTAGTAGGTCCTGTGTTCATGTGCTGGTGTAGTAGGTCCTGTGTTCATGTGTTGGTGTAGTAGGTCCTGTGTTCATGTGTTGGTGTAGTAGGTCCTGTGTTCATGTGTTGGTGTAGTAGGTCCTGTGTTCATGTGCTGGTGTAGTAGGTCCTGTGTTCATGTGTTGGTGTAGTAGGTCCTGTGTTCATGTGTTGGTGTAGTAGGTCCTGTGTTCATGTGTGTAGTGTCCTGTGTTAGGTCCTGTGTTCATGTGTTGGTGTAGTAGGTCCTGTGTTCATGTGTTGGTGTAGTAGGTCCTGTGTTCATGTGTGGTGGTGTAGTAGGTCCTGTGTTCATGTGCTGGTGTAGTAGGTCCTGTGTTCATGTGTTGGTGTAGTAGGTCCTGTGTTCATGTGTTGGTGTAGTAGGTCCTGTGTTCATGGTGTTGTGTGTAGTAGGTCCTGTGTTCATGTGTTGGTGTAGTAGGTCCTGTGTTCATGTGTTGGTGTAGTAGGTCCTGTGTTCATGTGTTGGTGTAGTAGGTCCTGTGTTCATGTGCTGGTGTAGTAGGTCCTGTGTTCATGTGTTGGTGTAGTAGGTCCTGTGTTCATGTGTTGGTGTAGTGGGTCCTGTGTTCATGTGTTGGTGTAGTAGGTCCTGTGTTCATGTGTTGGTGTAGTAGGTCCTGTGTTCATGTGCTGGTGTAGTAGGTCCTGTGTTCATGTGTTGGTGTAGTAGGTCCTGTGTTGTGTCATGTGTTCATGGTGTAGTAGGTCCTGTGTTCATGTGTTGGTGTAGTAGGTCCTGTGTTCATGTGTTGGTGTAGTAGGTCCTGTGTTCATGTGTTGGTGTGTAGTAGGTCCTGTGTTCATGTGCTGGTGTGTAGGTCCTGTGTTCATGTGTTGGTGTAGTAGTAGGTCCTGTGTTCATGTGTTGGTGTAGTAGGTCCTGTGTTCATGTGTTGGTGTAGTAGGTCCTGTGTTCATGTGTTGGTGTAGTAGGTCCTGTGTTCATGTGTTGGTGTAGTAGGTCCTGTGTTCATGTGTTGGTGTAGTAGGTCCTGTGTTCATGTGTTGGTGTAGTAAGTCCTGTGTTCATGTGTTGGTGTAGTAGGTCCTGTGTTCATGTGTTGGTAGTAGGTCCTGTGTTCATGTGTTGGTGTAGTAGGTCCTGTGTTCATGTGCTGGTGTAGTAGGTCCTGTGTTCCTGTGTTCATGTCATTGGTGTAGTAGGTCCTGTGTTCATGTGTTGGTGTAGTAGGTCCTGTGTTCATGTGTTGGTGTAGTAGGTCCTGTGTTCATGTGTTGGTGTAGTAGGTCCTGTGTTCATGTGTTGGTGTAGTAGGTCCTGTGTTCATGTACTGGTGTAGTGGTGTGTAGTAGGTCCTGTGTTCATGTGTTGGTGTAGTAGGTCCTGTGTTCATGTGTTGGTGTAGTAGGTCCTGTGTTCATGTATTGTTGGTGTAGTAGGTCCTGTGTTCATGTGTTGGTGTAGTAGGTCCTGTGTTCATGTGTTGGTGTAGTAGGTCCTGTGTTCATGTGTTGGTGTAGTAGGTCCTGTGTTCATGTGCTGGTGTAGTAGGTCCTGTGTTCATGTGTTGGTGCAGTAGGTCCTGTGTTCATGTGCTGGTGTAGTAGGTCCTGTGTTCATGTGTTGGTGTAGTAGGTCCTGTGTTCATGTGTTGGTGTAGTAGGTCCTGTGTTCATGTGTGGTGTAGTAGGTCCTGTGTTCATGTGTTGGTGTAGTAGGTCCTGTGTTCATGTGTTGTTGGTTCATGTGTTGTAGTAGGTCCTGTGTTCATGTGTTGGTGTAGTAGGTCCAGTGTCCTTGTGTTCATGTGTTGGTGTAGTAGGTCAGGTCCTGTGTTCACTGCTAAGGTTTAAGGTCAGGTGTTCACTGCTGTTGGTGTAGTAAGGTCCTGTGTTCACTGCTAAGGTTTAAGGTCAGGTGTTGTACTGCTAAGGTTTAGGTCAGGTGTTGTACTGCTAAGGTTTCAGGTCAGGTGTTGATATTGCCCTGCTGATAGAGGATATTATATTACAACAGATAACAAGTGACACATCCACTATACGATGTAAGAACATACTGATGTTTACGACACGAGTGCCTAAATGTTGGTATTTCCCGAGCGAGAGCGAGGGATATACCGATATTTAGGCACGAGTGTCGTAAACATAGTATGATATGGGCACGAATATAATATTTTGTTTATTACCGAAGTCGTCAAATGGAGGAAAATAACCCAAATCTACTTTCAAACATAGGCTGGCTGCCGCTACCCGCCGTCGACGTCGCATGACGTAGTCACCAACAAAGTGATATTTTGCAATCGTCAAAAATATGAAGAAACGTGACGTCATAGTCTTGTTTTGTTCATGACGTCACGTCACGTCATGAGTTTAAAGACGTCACAATGCTATTTTGCCCTTGAGGGCATCGTATGTTTCTATCAATTTATGTTGGAAAATATGAACCTTCCGTGATATAGTTCGCCCTCGTAGGTAATAATAGGCAAAATCCCAACTATTTGTATTCAGTATATGTTGGGACCTATCCATCAAAAGCCTCTATAAGTCTGGTGACAATGACATCTGGAAACTCAGACGGTGGGGTAAACTCGTTTGAATGTAAATGCACTTAAAACAGTTATGTATGTATAATATCTGTGAGTACTAGTATAAACTGATACTGCTGGGGTAGCCCAGTGATAAAAGTGTTCGCTCATTACGCCGTACAATGTGTCAGGCCCTCCCCTGCCATGAAATTGCTGGAATGTTGCTAAATGTGGCGTAAAACCTCAGTAATGCAGGTTTGATAGGGCTTACCCAATCAGATACTGTACCACATTTTAAAATGGATATTCCTTTCAGAAACATTATTATGACTGAGCCCACCAATCATTGTTTTATCATAATTTCAAACACCAGGCATGGCAACAACAAATACCATATCTTGACACCGGCATCTTCAACTCCATGTACGCTCTTTCCACTTGACTAACAAATTCAAACAAATTACCCAAACGTTAGATATTGTTCAGAATACATGTACTGTAATCAAGCCAAACAATAACTGAATAATAATGAAATGTTAACATGCAATACTGCTTCACAATAAATGTTCAGTTTGTGATTTGAAGTGAGTATGTTTAGGTTTATGACATATTTAGCACTACTCCAGCAATATCACGAAGGGGGAGACCAGAAATGGGTTACACATATTGTGAGGAATCGAACCCGTGTGTTCGGCATGATGAGCAAATGTTTTAACCACTAGGCTACCCCACCGCTCCTTGTGAGCTGGAAATCAAGTACGCTGCCTCAAATATATTTCTTCTCTTTCAGATGGAAAGGCTTGTGTAGAAGGGAAGAGACCAATGAAAGGGTGAGCGGGTGTAGTTTTGAATCGAATCTTGTCAATAAAGCAGTGATGAATGAGGTGGAACAGATATTCTGAAGCCTTGGCAGACGGCGACCAGTTGCAGCATCAAAGTCTTTTGGTGTCCCCAAGATGGCAGCTGTCCCTAAAGTATGCAATGAGGAAGGGCTGATTGATGATTAAGAAAGGTCTATTAAGACCCAAATCTATGTTAGATCTGATCTTGCTGATGGTTCAGATGCTGTGTTGCCAAGTAATTTGCCAGTGGACCATTCAATGAGGATCAGTAATGAGAGGACAGAGATGAATAGGAAAGGTAGAACACCTGCTCCAAAACCAAGAACAAATTTGAAGCAAGATCAGCCAAAGGATGATCAACCAGATGCTTCCAAAGAAATGAATGACACTCCTGCTGAGAATGATCAATCTCCACATGGTCTCGGCGCTACCAACAACCAGCAGGCCCCCACAGAAACGGTCTATGAAAGATCAAAAGGTGGGATTTATTTAGGAAAAGGTGACAAGGAAAGACAAAAGTTGCCAAGAGAGGGTGGTTGCAACAGACAAGATACAAAAGGGAGAAGACATTCCAGGACTGTCGATGTTCCCTCAAAGCAACAGATCAGCCAAGAAGGTCCTCCTGAGAAAACACAACATGGAAGAAGAGATAGTGTCACCAGGACCACAACAAAGACCAGACGCGTATCAGGAGGAACATCCACCCAGGATGTCCTGGGGGGAAAGGAGAACAAAACAGATGCTAATCAGAAAAGAGAGGAGCAAGGAGAGGTACAGAAAGGTACAAAAATGAGAGCCCAGAAAAAGAACAAACCCAGGGATGAGTTTGATGGGTTCCTGAGAAATAAAGTTGGAAAGCAGATTTCTGTTATACTGTATGTTAGAATCCAGCAACATCTCGATGAAAAATATGATGTTAAAGGTTTTCTTCGTGCACGGATGCAGACTCAACAAGACGTCAAAGTTGTGAAAATGGAGCATGTTGGAAATAGCACTGTAGTTTCGGTTGAAGCACCAAGTATATCTGCGGCTAACAAAGTTGGATATTTACTGAAATTAAGTAACAGAGGATCTAAGATGAAGTTAGTTTGCACATTGGATAGGAATGAGGCACTGGATCTTCCACCTGAGAGGGATGAAAAAGAATTTGAGCAGCATATCACAAGCATTAAAAGAAGGGAAAAGAAAGCTTTAAGTGATCACATGGATAAAATCAATGTTATTTCTAAGGGTATTGAGAGACTGTCCACAAACAAACATGCAACTATTGATGAGTATGAGGCAATGCAGCATGAGAAGACTGCTCTCAAGGATAAGTTGGAAGAGCTGAAACTGCAGAAGGAACAGTTTATAACGTATATGCAGGGCTTGGAGTCAAAACTTGTTTCACTGTGGAAAGATAATACCTATGCTAAACACAGTGGCGATCTAAGGAAAGACTTTGGTATCGAGCTTTGTAGACTTACATCCGCACTGCCTATGTATGCCAGAAGAAACGATATAATCAAAACGGTACAGGACAACCAGGTTTGTGTCATATTAGGCGAGACTGGGTCAGGGAAGAGCACACAGATGACACAGTACCTCCATCAGGCAGGCTTCAGCAAAGATGGTTTTATCGTGTGTACACAGCCCAGGAAAGTTGCAGCCAGAAGTCTGGCAACCCATGTTGCATCTGAGCTAGTAACAAATGTTGGCAATGTTGTAGGTTACAAAGTAGGAATGCGTTCTAAATGTGGAGGAGCTACCAAGATCCTGTACATGACTGATCACTGCCTGCTGAATGAATGTCTGAAAGATCCAACTCTGTCTGCCTACAGCTGTGTTATAGTAGACGAGGCACATGAGAGAAGCATCTACACTGACCTGCTCCTTGGAATGCTGAAGACGTGCTTGAAACAGCGCCGTGATCTCAGGGCAATCATTACTTCAGCGACTATTGACCCTGACGTCTTTGTCAGATATTTTGGTGACTGCCCAGTCTTGAGAGTATCTGGCAGAATGTTTCCCGTTGAAGTTGAGTACCTAGCTGAAAGTGATGGGGGCAAGTCTTCTGATAACTATCAGAAAGAAGCTGTCAACAAGGCTGTATATGTCCACACAAAGGATCCTCCAGGCGACATTCTGGTTTTTGTTATATCTCCTTTAGAAACCGAGAAGTGCAGTGAAGATTTTAGCAGCAGACTGCAGGGAAGGACTGACTTCAAATGTTTGGTTCTTCATGGTCAGATTCAACCAGATGAGCAGCAGTTAGTATTTCAGGCCACCCCTCCAGGAATCAGAAAGATTGTCTTTGCCACAAACAGTGCTGAGACTTCAATCACCATTCCAGGAATCAAGTATGTAATCGATACTGGCCTTGCAAAGGAGAAACGTTATGATCCTCGTCGGAACATGAGCACATTGAGTGTAGTCCTCATAAGTCGCAGCTCAGCAGATCAGAGGAAAGGTCGGGCAGGAAGAACAGGTCCCGGTAAATGTTACAGACTCTACAGTGAAGAGACGTATCGTGAAATGGAAGCAGTATCACTGCCAGAGATACTCAAAGTTCACCTGGGGCAGGCTATGCTGAAACTGACAGAGCTTGGCATTAATCCTCTGGAGTATGAATTTGTTCAGTCACCAGGACAATCAGCAATAGCTACAGCTATGACTACACTTGAGGAACTTGGTGCAGTCAAAGACAATAAGATCACAGAAGAAGGGAAAGAACTAGCAAAGCTTCCTGTAGAACCTCGACTAGGACTTATTATCCAGAAAGGAAGATCTGAAGATGTTCTCTTTGATGCTGTTGTTCTTGCAGTTGTGAGTAATGTAGGAAGCTTCATATTCTTCAGAGGGGGCGCTGACAATGATAAGAAGAAAGCTGACAAGCTGAAGATACAGTTCTGCCACAATGGTGGTGATAGTCTCACTCTGCTGAATGTCTACAGAGAATGGGACAAAGAGCCAGAAAAGCAGAAAAACAAATGGTGCTTTGCAAACAGCCTTAACTCCAAATCTTTGCGAATCGCCAGAGAGACAGTAAATGAGGTGATGGCGCTTTTGAAGAAGGAGGCTAAAGGGAAGGTCACACATGAGTTCAAAGACCCACAAGAAGCGGATGGGAAACTTCAGAGAATACTCTTTGACAGCTTCACATCCAACATCTGTCATTCTCTTGGACTTGCAAAGGCAGGATATTATGCCCCTAGACTTGATCAACAAGTTCATGCTCACCCCTCATCAGTCCTGTATCCACTCAACTTGGTTCCTGAGTGGCTTGTCTTCGAGCAGTCCATGAAGACATCCAAAGACTTCATTACAGGACTCACACCAGTTGATGAATCCTGGGTTGTTGAAGCCATTGAGTCTGGACGTCTAAAGAGAGATCTTGAAGAGATGAGAAAGAAACAACTCCTCCCTGTGCATGTTGAGCATGTCGGATCATTTCTTTTCTGGAAGCTTGTTGGTCCTAGTTTTACAAAACTAAAACAGTTTGAAGAAGAAGCATCACATCTTGTTAAACCACATCTGGCTGTCATTCAGGCATCAAAGGAAAAAGGGGAACTGAAGATATTTTGCTCTGATCGTGCTACTGGCAAATTATCTCACCTATTCAATGAGGTGACTGGACCTGTGAAAATATATTTAGAAGGAGAAGATTTGGAGGTACCATTGGGTCAGTCTAAGGAGCATGCTGGTGTCCGTGTGATCCTTGGTAAAGGGGGAGCTGTGAAAGACATCCTCATGGCAGATGAATACAGAACAATATTTGTTGATCGTCCTGATGAAAATTCTACAGAAGACACTATCATGAGCAAATTTGGCTGTTTTGGAAAGATAGAGAGACACAGGATATTCAAGAATCCTCAAAAGGAGATGGGGTTGTATTACATATGAATCTTCAGCAGCAGCAAAAGAAGCTGTGGAGAAAACAAAATCGGATTCTTCAGAAGTTGCTGCTCCTGAGAAACATGGCCGAGGGTATCAAGACTCTCAGTTCAAGGTCAAAATAACGTGGTGTAGACGAAAGTCTAGAGGATTTGGGTATGTTGATGTTGAACCAGAGTTGATGCCAAAGATTTTACAAAGAGGGCCAATGTTTATCAAAGGAAAACTTGTAAATGTTGGAATTGACGTGAAAAGTAGGAAGAGCCTTTATCTTGAAAATCTTTGTCAAAGTATCACTGAAGATGATATCAAACAAGCAATTCTATCCTCTTTGAATTATGATGAAGATAAAACTGGCATATTTCAAAAGGTAACGGTAGTGAGAGAGAAAGTGACCACGACCAAAGATCAACTTGGTACATTTCAGACTCAGTTACAGGCAAAGCTCAAAACCTTTTCGCCAGAAAACAGATTCCATGTGGAGGTCAAAGAGCCATATACAACAAGTGTCAACTACCTAGCATTTGCATCGTTCACCAACTCAAATGAGGGAATAGCAGCTTGCCAAGGTTTGTCCAGGCAGTTCCATATCAACGACCGAGAGGTCACGATGGAGCCAGACATAAGGCCATCACTGTATGTAAACAGAGAAGTTTATGCAGCCATCAAAGACGACCTGGATGCATACTTGAAAGAATTCCCCATTGGAGTGAATTCAAAGACACTGAAGGATGGAACTGTCGTACTTTATATCCATGCCTCCAGCTCCACAGAGCTGGCAAAGATTCGAGCTAACCTACAGAACATTGTACAGGGAGAAGTTGTGGAACTTGGTGCAAATCCCAATCTGCGTCAACTCTTTACCAGGGCTGGAAGAGACTTTCTCAAAGACACTGAAAAGAAATGTAATGCTTTCATTCAAGTTGATGGTAGAACCTTCACACTTTCAATCCATGGGAAACAGGAGGCATGCACTAGTGTGCGCATTTCAATCAATGATTATCTCCAACAACTGTCTGAAGGAGAACTGATCGAGGTGCACCTGCGTAGAAGAGACAAACCCAATGGGCTGATGAAGACATTGATGAATAAGTATGGCATAGAACTTGAGAAACTACAGCAGGACTTTGACTTGAGATCAGTTGTCCTGAATTTCAAGCGACAGATTGTAAAATTGGTGGGATCAGCTGAAGACATTGACAAAGCTGTCACAGTCATAGACGACATTTCATCTAAATTGCTGGAGGGTGTCAAAACTTCAGAGGAGGAGGAACTTCCCGATTGCTGTGTCTGTCTCTGCCCAATAGAACCAAACGATTTGTACAGGCTGCAGTGCTGTGGGCACGCCTACTGCCTGGATTGTGTCAGGAGACAGCTGGAAGCTGCAGTCACTGGCCGAGACTTCCCCTGCCTTTGTGGGCATGATGGGTGTGAGCAGCCATTTACATGGAAGGATTTGTCCAATTTTGTGCGAGAAGGAACATTAACTGTCGCAAACCTGGCCAGCTCCTCTTTGAGTTCCTTTGTTAGCAAAAACACCAAAACCTTCAAGTATTGCTTGACCCCAAACTGTGACATGGTGTACCGAGTGACCTCGAAGGGATCTGTGTTCCGGTGCCCCGACTGCAGTGTGAGAACATGCACTACCTGCCACGCCCAGTATCATGATGGACTGACCTGTGCCATGTACAACAGTGCCAAGGATGATGAAGACAGCCTTGAAAAGTGGCTGGCAGCCGATTCCAAAACAACAAAGAAGTGCCCAAACTGTAAGACCCCCATAGAGAAAACAGAAGGCTGCAATAATATGCATTGTGAAGCATGCACATGCAGCTTCTGTTGGTTGTGCCTTGCCTGCTTTCAAGAATCTAATGCATGTTACGATCATTTGAGTAAACAACATGGTGGCTTTTTTGATCAAATTTGATCTCATACCCAAAACATGATCCTATAAAGGATTTACCTTGGTCTGATTTACTCAAGTTTGTTGTACGATAAACATTTCAAGTGAGACTCCAACGGCTGGAACGTAAGGAATGTGAACTTGACATAAAAATCTGATGCATGTTATGAACATTTGAATGAAAAACGTGGGGGCTGTTTACGATCAAATTTTATCCTATTCCATGAACATGATCCCATGGAGGATTTAACAGACGACTGAAGTTGAGGCTCCAATTGCTGAAACGTGGAAAGAGGACGAGTGAGTGAGTGAGTTTAGTTTTCAGTAATATTCCAACAACATCATGCCGAGGGACACCAGAAATGTGTCATAGCGAAATTGCACACTGGGAATGCAGACTTATCCGTCTTTGGCACCAACTAGAGGAAAGTCAGTTTGAGTGTCACATGGAGACGTGTGTTGGCGCTGAAGTCAATACCTCGTGTGACCACCGTGGGCATCCAGAACTGCACGGCATCGCCTCGGCATCGAACGAATAAGTCTCAGAATCTCGTGTTGCCCAATTGCAGCCCACTCTGCCACGAATAAGTCTCAGAATCTCGTGTTGCCCAATTGCAGCCCACTCTGCCTACCTGTGCGAGTTGCTGAAGTGTCTGGGGCTGAGGGTAACGGCATCGCACCCGTCTGTCCAGGGCATCCCACAGATGTCTGTGAAAGAGGATTAAGGTGGAAAGGATGAAGGTCCTTTCTTTGTTATCCCGGATCTTGTCTCATTTTTGATAAATGTCGTATGTAGGGATGCCTGGAGATATGGGACTCCACTGTGTGTTTGTTTGTTTGTTCAAGTGGTCACTGGTACTGTACATTATTATGGTTACTTGTGTATGGTACTGTGTGGTTTAGATGGTGAAACTCTTCTAAATGGTGCGCTGGGTGTTGTGTGGAATTAGTTCAGCAGAGAGTCACAAGAAGCTGAGGAATGTTGCAGAAATGCCAACCCTACCGAATTTATGGGAATCATCCCGAAAAATGAATTTCGATTCCATCATTCCGTCTAAGCCAGATTCATTCCGATTTAAAAAAAATAAATAACAAAGATATAGATATTCTTACTGGAAGGCTAGGATCATCTTTGACTATAAATAATGATAATTAAATAAATATAACACTTTATTTACTGAATGTCTCAAATTGTTTACAAAGAAAGTAATCAAGAAGTTGTAGGCTGCCTGATAAATTCCACCCTATGTTTATTTTGTTCTCTTAACATTCACAAACACTGCTGCCGAGTAATTATTTCTATCTTGGGGAGCTCAGATTCCAATGCACCAATTTGGGGTTGCCGAGTACTGCAAACCGGTTTCAGTTGTGAAAGGATCGCTATAATGTGTTATAAGTAATGCTGACAAATTTTGAGGGGGATTATCATTTGCAGAAGCCCGAGGTCTTCCATTAACTGCCCGTTTACGAAGGAAGGTCCAGAGTTGAAAAGAGACCGAGGGCATTCTGCAAATGATAATGCCCTCGAAAAATAGCAAATTACCGTTATTATTGCTAAAATACATGGAATTTGTGTTGAAAAGAAAAAGGAAACAATGAAGGAATTTGACTGTAAGTTTACTCAAAACCAACTTCTGACGGGGTTGACTGCCCGAATGCAATTACGTCATCGAACAATTCAAGTGACGTCACAACAGAAAGTGACGATATTCGACCTTGGCCTTTGACAAGACCATAGCCTGCAACATGTCAAACTATGTCAGTGTTCGGTTTTGGTCCAACAACAACGTTAATAGTGCAATTGTTGAGGTTAGCACCAGCAAGAAAGCCAATATTACCGCTATTTAAAGCGGGAATTCGGGTTGCTTTGACTTGTTTGACCCAGAATATCTGCCAGTCCAAAGCCAATGTCGAATGAACCGTAAGCCCACGCACCCACTATGACGTCACTTGACAACAGAACTGATAGTGGCCCGTCGTTAAGGTTGAGCGGTCCAATATCATTTGCAGCGGCCCGCAAATTTCTGATAATGGGAGGGCCGTTTCATGATAATTCCATGTATTTTAGCTATAATATTCGCAATTGATTTTGCCAAACAGAAGGATATAACACATTAACAGTTGTAAAGTATTGATTTATATATATTTCTGAACTTGTTATTATCTCTGACACAGTATTTATTTTTTTCTGGACATTTTAAACTGTTAATTACGAAAGCCTAATGCTGTCAGTTTCGTAGCATAAATTATTTTCTGCTACAATTCACGTTGCTTGGAATATTTACTCGTTATTTAGGGTATTTTCTTTTATTTCAAAATTTTATCGTTGTTCGGTTATTTCGTTGCTTCAAGTTTCTTTAAAAAACTATATTTTCTCGTTACTTCAATTAGTTTTTCTTTGCTTCTATTAATTTCTCATGGCTCTGAATATTTTCTCGTTGCTTCAATTTTCTTTCAAAACTTGAAATTTCAAGTATTTACTTGTTGTTTCGAATATTTTCTCGTTATTTCAATTATTTTTTCGTTTCTTCGATTAATTTTTCGTTGCTTCAAGTTTCTTTAAAAAACTTGTAATTTCAAATATTTTCTCGTTACTTCAATTAGTTTTTCTTTGCTTCTATTAATTTCTCATGGCTCTGAATATTTTCTCGTTGCTTCAATTTTCTTTCAAAACTTGAAATTTCAAGTATTTACTTGTTGTTTCGAATATTTTCTCGTTATTTCAATTATTTTTTCGTTTCTTCGATTAATTTTTCGTTGCTTCAAGTTTCTTTAAAAAACTAGAAATTTCAATATTTTCTCGTTACTTCAAGTTTTTGTCAAAAACGTTGCTTCGAGTATTTTCTAGTTACTTCAGTCATTTTTTCCGTTGCTTCAATAAGCGGGAGAGCCTCAAACTCGGGCCAAGAAAAGTCGGACCGGGCCGCCATGTATATTTCACGATGAAATAAAAAGAAAACTATGACTCCATACCGAGAGTCTCGTAGAAAAGACACCGTCTTGTTGTTATGTGTTTTCCCTTTGATATGTCTATGTGAGAAGGTTACTTACTTCTCCTAGGGTGTGACGTCCTGGGCAGGAAGTGACAGTGCTTTGGCTTCGTTTCTTTCCTTAAAGGGGCACTGATCCAGAGCGATTAATGGTTTTTCACAACCTAGCTTCAAACTGGTCAGCCCCTGCTCCCTCGACCGTGACGGACCCGGGGACTGGGCTACTGTCCTCCTTAGCAGAATTTCTTCTACCTAAACAGTGGGACACAAGGAAGGGTAGATGCCCATCAGATGCCGTTATTTGAAAACATTCTCGGTAGTTCTTGTCTGATTGTAATAAAGTATCCCAGAAGTGTAGGCTTTTCGGATTTCCTAATGCCTGGATGGTGTAGTTGGTATAATGACTGATCCAATTTGATCTAATATCTGTGTTTTTACCTCGATATTTAATCATGTCATGTAAAGATGTGATGCCTATTACCTATGATATTACAAACACACATTTGATTATTTGAATCCGTAAACTAAACAACCCAACTTTGCATTGCTAGAGAAATCTGAAACTTACTTAAGTAAATAGTTATGTACAGTTTTAAACACAGCAAATACTTAGTGTATTTCTTTTGCAAAAAAAAAGTTCCGTTCATACATTAAATATTGAAAATATTGAGCTCCCTAATTAACCTTTCTTGCCTCATGATGAATCAGAACAGGCTGTTTTAGTCCAGGAGGAGGCAGCTGAAAAAAATGAAATCGTAGCCTCCCCAGTACTGATTTTATTTGACACTATTTTCAGTTAGTATGATGTCTTGGGCTCATGAAATGGTCTGTAATACTCTCTGGTTGTGTTGTAAGTTTTTTAACAGGCCATTATATGTGGTGGGGGTCTGCGAGCATTTTCGTCACATTTGGTTTGCTGCCCGACAACACAAGTTAATCATGAATAGTTTTACTACTATCAATCTGATCACTTTCATTTTGACTATTGCGTTTTGCTAAAGGATGTAGAAGTTAATTGACATTTTTTTGTTTTTACAAAAAAATCAAAATGGCCGCCATTTTGTATTGTCGTGTTTTGCCGTCTCAGCGCTTAAATTTACATAAAAATGAACACCGAATGATTCCATATACATCCAAAGTTGATATTTTTATGTTGTTTGACACTTGTATCTCCTAGAGTGATAGCTTGGGCACAAAGCAAGTCGTTTTGTATGGTCATATCTTGGTAATATAATATTTTACAGCTTATTCTTTGAGACGGGTATTTTAGCGATTCTCCGACTTTTCATGGAAACGTGTGGTAGTGATGTATTAATCTAACGTTAACATTATTTTTGTAACTAAGACAAGTTGTTTTAGCTGTTCATATTGTTCTATAAGAAAACTCTTAAATTACTTTTGATACATTCAGAAGCTCTCAATTAACACTCATTTTAATTTCTTTCATATTATATGTCACTCCATGTCAGAATCGGAATCATCTACTGGCAACAAATCAAAGGTGTTCGGGCAACAAATACCTGACATACAAAAAGACATGCCTCTGTGCACACTAGATCATTCTGTCTACATCGACATAGATCTCTCCGCTGGCATGCTGACCTTTTGCATTTACATGATGTCAGTTCAACCAATCCACGGGGAGCAGGATCTCTCGACATCAGAATAGGGATAAGCTGACCAATACAAACACTCCAACCATGGTCAACTGGTGAAGTAATGTTCATGATTGGTTTGCAGAGACTGTTTCCAAACATGCACTTGGTAGTTTACTCGTTCTATGTGATGTTTAAGACTGTTGGATGTTGGTGGGAGGTTTTCATTCAATATCTTGTTTCATGTTTGATGTTACAGACATCACTGGATTATATGGTACATACATGTACATAGAACTCACAAACTGGCCACAAGATGTAATGAGCGTTTCTTGAACATTCAAATTGCCACCCATTTGTTGTGTGAAAGAAAGAACATCAAAAGCGGTTTGTTAAATGAACTGTAAAAGGGAGTTTTTGGTCCTTCACTTGTTATTTTGGCAGAAATGAGAATGTTGGCATTAATGGCAGTTCATATAGTTGATGGAATGGCAAAATTGCAAATGAGCAGAGAGGGAAATCCTTCCACATTTGGAGACTTGGCTGATATGCATTGGGCCAACTTCACTTCAGTTTTGCATCGAACAGACTGCACTAGAGTTGACAGGGGCAGGTATGCACGACAACAGTCATTCAAAGCCAGGGAAGTAAATCAAAAGAGGATCGTCATCGGTGCTACAGAAGTCAAGATTGTTAGCAAAAACACACCACTACCAAGACAATGGGGCAAGTTCATCAGCAGTTCTTTCAACAAGTCGTCTTGTAGCATTTATGAACGAACGATGGTGTTCTGTTGGTCCAGCCATGCTACCTGTTGGTAAAGCCTGAGTCACACCGAGGTAGTTCTTAGGACGTCCTGCCCGATCCAACTAATAATTGTAAAACGAGCTCAAACGGGGCAGAATGTGCAACTTTGTATAAATTACGATGAACAGTTCTCAATACGTATATCTCGTATTTACCCCGTCCCCAGATAGTTGGTATTACGTTTAGACTGGGTAAAATTGCCCGTTCACCTCGTGTGGACAACATTTTCAAGCAGTTCAGTCCCGCCCTTAGTCAGTATATATCCGTGTGAACTAGACCCATCTCGTTCTTAATACACCCAACCCCGTTCTAAATCGTTCTTAACTCAACCAACTCGTTTTCGGACAGTTCTTCCTGTTCACACTACGTTCTCACTCCGTTTCTAGTGCGTGCAATCGTAATAGCGATCACGTCCTG